TTAAGGTGGTGTCTGCCAGGCTTTACTATAAAATTTTCTATAACTTTTTGTTTGTTTGAGGTAGGGTCCTGCTATGTAGTTTAGGCTAGCCTTGAACTCATTATGCGTAGCCTGACCTCAAAGTCAGGGCAATCCTCCTGCTCAGTCTCCTGGGACTGTAGCTGGGACTACTCAGGTATGTGCCATCACTCAGCCTTTTTTTTTTTTTTTTTTTTTTTTTTGTACCAGGAGTTGCACTGAGGACCTCATGCTTGCAGGCAGGCACTGTGCAGCTGAGCTGCATACCCAGCCCCAGCCCCTCTTTTTTTTAAACTTTGAGTTCTTCATCAGACTTTCAATTTATTGGTTTATATCTGTATATAGTATGGTTTCTTATTTTTTCCAATGAATTATAACCTCTGCCATTTATTTCTGTGTTCAGATTGGCAGATGTGGTCAGTGTGTGCCTATTCAAGCTGGCTCCTGTATTCTCTGAGTACGTTTCTGACACTGTAAGGTGATTTAAGTTGATTTTACGTGCTCCCTGCTCGAGCCCTGGAATTAGCCATTTTTCTCAGGGGCCTAGTTCTTACTTAGAAACCAACTATGTACTAGTTATATTTATTGCTGTCAGAGTTGTCTCACAGTACCCAGAACTAGGGAATATCTGTATGCATATGGAGATGAGTAGATGTAATTATGTCTGTAAATTTTTTTTACAGCAGCAACATAGAATTCATCTTGGTTTTTTTTTTTTCTCTCTGTGTATTTGTAATCTCTGCAACTATGAGAAACCTGGTTTCCATTATGCTTAACATTAATTTGATGAGTCCTTCCCATATGTAATCAATCTTTTCTCTACTGCTTCCTCTCCTGCTCAGGTCCTGGCTCCTTGTGCTGGACCCTTTGTTCAGTGGAAACGTCCCCGCTGGGCTCCACATCATATGCCAGGTCCTTCTCATCCAACTGCTTGTTGATAGGATGCCCTGGACTTTGCTCCCAGGCTGGGCCAGGCTTTGGCAGAATGACCTCCTTACACTCTTGCTTTGTTCTGTTCCATTTAATAGCTTTAGAATTGAAATGCAAAAGGAGAGGGACCTGGTCATTTTTTTTTAATTTAAAAAATTGATGAATAACTTTTATTAAAAACCTGAACCGTATAGCTTTGTCATCAAATAACACAGTTGTTTCATTTCGTATTATTTCCCAAATCTGTTCAAATGTATATTAGTCTGTCAGATCTACTATAATAAAGTACTATAGAGTATGTGGCTTAATCAACAGAAATATGTTTTCTCACTGTTCTGAAGGAGATCCAAGATCACGGTGTTGGCAGATTGACTTTTTTTGAAGCTTCCTTCCCTGGTTTGTAGACAGACTCCACCCTCCCATGGTCTTTTCTGTATTTATGTACATCCTTGATGTCTCTGTATGCATGTGTCCAAATTAACTCTGCTTATAAGGACACAAGTTATACTGGATTATGGCCCACCCATAAGACTCCTTAACTAATTGCCAAAAATCTTAGCTTCAAATGGCTACATTATGAGGATTTTATGGACAGGATTTCATTGAATTTTAGGGGGATACAATTCAGCTAGTAATAACCTGCTTAATTTTTAATATTGTCCATGCGAGTTTGAATGTGATTTTGTTATTGAACTTCTTTTATGATTTTGTATTTTAATAATTTTGTAACTGCATGATATTGTAGACCATGAATGTAAATTAGTTTGAAGTTTGAAGGCATTCAGGATCCATATTTCTTACTGTCTTGTTTCTATATTTGATCAATCACCACTTGTCTTTGAGCAAGTATGGTTGGATGTATTATGTCTTTAGGAGGTTGGTAAAGCAAATATGTGTAAGCAGCAAAATAAAAGATAAGAGTTTCAGGGAAATGAAGGTAGAAAGAATGAGGACAAAGAAAATCATAAATAAAAATTGTACTTTTAATAAGACTACAACTCGAGGACACAAAAGTCCCCATGGATATCCGTATCAGTATTCCCTGTTTGTTTGTGCTTTTTTAAAGATTTTTTTTTGTCTTTTTCCTTTTTATCGGTACCAGGGATCGAACTCACGACTGCCTGCTTTCAAGGCAGGCGCTTATGCCGCTGAGCTAAACCCCCAGCCCCGAGCGCTTGTTTGTGCTTTTGTTCTAGGCCCATCACATCAAGAATCCTTTAAAGATACTTTAAATTCATAAATAAGGTTAGCTGATGAAGAGCAAAAACCAAAAAATGTTTCTAGGCAAAACATTTTAGAGTGCTCATCCAAAAAAACCAAAATTAGTGGGGCTCATACTTATTATTTGTAAAATGGGCCATTATCTTTCTGTGGGAGAACCAAGACAGAACTTGTTTAGGTTCACAGATTTTTATCGCCAACAGCACGTAAATATTCCCAGCTCCAAACTGTATGTAGCAGGTCTCCCTCAAGGACTCACACTCTTATTTCTTTGTGTACTTTTAAATTTCTGCCTAATAAATCCCTTTATGCCTCTTCCAAACACATACACACAGAGGCATCCACACACACACACAGCCATCACCACCATCATGTCTTTTTCCATTTAAAATGTTGTGACTAGTCTTTTTCCTCTGCATTCTTGAAGGCTGAGGAAAGGATCCCATGTTCAAGGCCAGTCTGGGCAATTTAGTGACTTACGGGAGATCCTGTCTCAAAATGAAAACAATAAAAAGGGCTGGGGATGTAGTTAGGAGTGAAGGCGTTGGGTTCACTCTCCAGGACCAGAAAAAGGAGAAAAAAAGAAAACAAAGTCTTGACCATTTTTTCTTAGCAAATATAAATTATTATGCATCATGTTTTGTTACTTAGACATCTGGTCATTTAAGTTGTATGTATAGAACACAAGTTATTCCTGATGACTGATGGTTGTTATTGTGAGACTTGGTTCTTGTTATAATACATTGGTGCTTTTAAAAGCTGTTTGTGTCAGGGCATCATGGCACATGCCTGTAATCCCAGCTGTTGAGAGGCTGAGGCAGGAGGATTACTACAAATTCGAGATTGGCCTGGGCTACATAGTGACTTCAACACTAACCTGAACTACATAGCAAGACCCTGTCAAAAAATAAAAAAGTAATAGCTGTTTGTATGGGGTTATACATTCCATACAACATGAAGTGACTCTACTTTAAAACAGTTCAATTGTAACTAGACAATTACAATGTCTTCCTTGTTGCTCTTGAGCTAGTTAATGTCCTTGTCCTTATTCTTCTCTTTTTATGTTTTTATTTTTTGGTACTGGGAATCAAACTCAGAACCTCATGTATGCCAAGCAGGCATTGTGCCACTGAACTGTATCCTTAGCTCTTTTTATGTTTTATTTTAAAATCTGGTTTTGAATTTCTATCATAAAAAACCCTTTCTTTCATTATCATATGTAAAATTTGATAGTAATTTGATATCAAATCAGGTAGCTGTGATGGTCTTAAGTGTTATTTAACAGTGGTTTAACGCCTGCCTGGCAAGTGTGAGGTCATGAGTTCCATCCCTGGCACCCAAAAAAACAAAAAGCCCCAGAGGTTCGTTTGAAAAAGCATTTAAATAAGACCCATAAATTACATTTGGTTCCTGTGTCTCGTAGATTTCTCCCTCTCTCGCAAGCGCGCCCTCTCATGCTCTCATTTTCTTGCTCGCTCGCTCGCTCTCCGTCCCCTGCTTCTCCCAGGGCCTTCGGGTACTGGGGACAAACCTGGGCATTCTCTGTCACTGTTATAGCCCTACCTTTTTCAGTTTTATTATTTGGAAACAAGTGTTGATTGTGTATAGCCTTTGGTGTTAGCATATTCTTCGCCTTCTATATATTCTTAAAATTGAAATCCAGAGATTTCTATGTATTTACAGTATTTCAACCTGCCACACTTACTATTCTTTTTGATCCTAGGTTTTCCTAATTTTAGCCTGTTGGCACATGTTAGTGGTCTTTGCACTTTGCTGTGATGTTCCAAATTTTCATACTTACTGTTCTAGTCCTGTTCTATTTCTTTTATTTTTATTTATTTATTTATTTTTTGGTACTGGGAATTGAACTCACAACCTTGTGCTTGCCAGGCAGGTGCTCATGCTAAATCCTCAGCCCCCTATTTCTTTTAAATTGTGCTTCCCTTGAGCACAAAAATGATACCTTAGGATCTAGAGATACTCTCATTGCCATTGGATGTGTTAGTGTTTCTAGCCTGCCCCTCCCCAACTTCAATTTTAAATTGCTGTAGGCTGGGAAACAAGAAAACAAAGCGTGTTTGACTTACATAAGGATTTTTTGAGCTTAAAAGCACAGAAATCATGACCTATGACTTAAGGTGCAGGTTCATACTTAATGAATATTGCTACTATTGGTAACAATGTGAATAACAATATCAAATGTCTTTCCAAGTAAAATGATTAACTGACTTATAAATTAGGGCCTTAATAATATAATGAGCTTGTAGTTCACACATTTGAACTTCATAGTGTTTTTAAAAATTATAGATCAGCCTGGGTGTGGTTGATACACGCCTGTAATACCAGCATAAGAGGTTCACTGTGGGTTCAAGGCCAGCCTGGGCTACAAAGTGAGCTCAAGGCCAGTCTGAACTGCATAATAAGACCTTGTCTCATAAAGGGGAGGAAAAGACAAAAAGAAAAGAAAAAGTGTAGTCCAGTCATGGTGAACCTATGGCATTTATGCCATAGCAGGCTCCTTGTTATCCTTGAAAGCTTTAAAAGGTTCCCTATCACTGAATTAGATCATTTATGCACTGTATTTTCCTTATTATGATTATCAGATAAATCTCTGTGAGGTATTAGTTACACCTCAGACACAGTCAAATTGTGCTGAATTATATTTGTCATACTTCAAATGTTATAATGCATTTATTTTCTCAAGTTGGGGTTGTATTTCGTGGTAGAGCATTTGCACAGTATGCAGAAGACTCTGGGTTATTCTCTGTGAAATGTCCTTTTCTTGCTTTTCAAAATAATTGAATTCCCAAACTTGATTTCCTGTTTTAAAACAGAGCTGTTCACTTTGACAGCACAAAATACTAAAATTACAGAGAAGATTAGCATGGCCCCTGCACAAGGATGACACACAAATTCATGAAGTGTTTCTATTTTTGTGTGTAAATACTGTATTTTTACAGTATAAATACAGTATTGTCTCCCTAGTGTAAAAAATTGTCTCCCTAGTGAAAAATTATATGTGTTCCAGAATCCACAATGAATACTGTGTAGGGGTAAGAAACTGTTCAAAGAGGAAAAGTAATTAGAATAAGGGAAAGGAGGAAAGAAGGAAGAGAAAAGGAAAAAAAAACATACATTTGTGTGTGTATAAATATACATATATATATATATAGCTTAAATACTAATTGTGTTAGTTATTGGAAAGGAACAGTTAATACTCAGGTTTAGATCAATTTTACAGGTCTATATCTGTTAATCTAAGGTCCCCTTGAAGGTAACAGTATACATTCTTAAAACCATTGGCAAATTATTACAACCATTGGCAAATTCCTGTCATCTTGTTTTGTAAACCTATACTGTTATTGTATTTGGTTTCTTCTTGTTTGTCTGATTTTTTTTTTTCTGTGTCTTTTTAATCTTAAAAAAACAGCTGTTAACAAAAACAGTATTGATATTAGACATTTGTCGTAGAATCATTTTTTACTTTTACATTTACTTTTACATTACTTTTACTTTTACATTTACTTTTACTAATTTTGAAGTGACTGTTTTATGCCAAAGCTCTCAGTGGCAATCATTACTGATCTTTAAGTGGATACTTCAGAATAAATGACAACATTTGTTTGCATGTTTGTTTGAGCCACTTGTTCCAGAAAAGCATCATAACTGACTTCTATTGATAGAAAATAGGACGTTTGTTTTTTTAAAAAAAAACTTCGAAGTCTATCCTGTTTTCAGTTTGGTTGAGGGATGACCTTTAACTTTTTTTTTTTTTGTTGTTTAAGGGGAAAAAGAAAAAAACAAAAAGGGTACAAGTAATACAAAATTTAAAAAATAAACAGTAAGGGACTGGGGGTTTAGCTCAGCGGCATAAGTGCCTGCCTTGTAAGCAGGCAGTTGTGAGTTCGATCCCTGGTACCGATAAAAACCACAAAAAGCCAAAAAATAAACAGTAAGAAATCACTAGTTAATAGATTACATATTCTCATCTTAGAAATAGTTGTTCAAATTACAAAATTGAAGCATATAAAGTGGACTTTCAAACAGTGAGAGTGCAAACAGTTTTGCTCAATGATCCAAAAATCTCAGTAATATGGTTTTCTATCTTATACACTTAAACATATATGCAGTTTTAACCTTTAGAACACTTTCTTTTCTTTTATACAATGACAATTACACATTTTGGGTTTTATTACTCCCACAGTTCTTATTACTTTTTTTGAAGAGAGTAAAACTAAATGCGACATACCAGAACAGAGTCAGTCAAATCAAAAGGATGGACATAATAGATAATGTAAAAACAAAATACAAGGTGATCAACAATGGTTACCATACTGCCTCTTGCTATTTTAAGAAGAATTGCCAGTTATCATAAAATTGAACAAAACAGTAAAGAATAAAACCAAAGCATTGGAGACATTACAGGACTTTAAAAGAAGATAATAGTCAACTGGAATGGGCATCATAATGAATCTTAATGTCTTCACAGTTTTGCCTATACTTTCGAACTTGGTACTATCAGGCAAAGCAGAATAGGGGAAAATCAGTCAAAACAAGATGGTGAGGGCAATACAGGATTTCAAATCAAGTTAATAGGAAGTCAAAGTAGGTTACTATAATGTATCCTGCTATTTTTTATTTTCCCCTTAATTAAAAAGATAAAAAGAGGGGGCTGGGGATTTAGCTCAGTGGCATAAGCAGGCAGTGTGAGTTCGATCCCCGGTACTAATAAAAAGGAAAAAGACCCCCCCCCCAAAAAAAAAATAAAAAGAAGAAAGTAAATAATTTTTTTAAAAAAGGGATTGAGATAAAAGAGGGCATAACAACAGAACAGCGCAGGTCAAAACATAACCAATTAAGCAAAATAGTGTTTTACCACAAGATATCCTGACATAAAAATAGTTACCATAGTGTCTCTTTCCTTGAAATCTTTGAGTATAACTTCATATACTGTAGCACCAAATATATCAAGACACTATAAAACCATTCAAGAGAATGACATTATTACAGGGTATTTAGAACTAATTAACAGAAAATGAACAATGGTTTCTGTATAATCTCCTTGTCTATAAAAGTTTTTACTTATATTATCATATATAATAAAATGCAATAAGATACAACCTTTTAAGCCCGATGGAGACAGAAGAATACAAGTTTGATGGGACTTCAAAACAAGATGATACTAAATCAGCACTAGCTATTATGGTGTCTTGTTTTCTCCAAAATAACTGTTCGTTATGGTTTGAAAACTGGTGGTCAACTCAACACCCGCTGGATTACATCAGCATGCATTGAGAGAAGATGCTCCACCTGAGGAGGGCTGTCAGGATAAATGGGTGGAGAAGAAGAAAGGTGTTGGGAGGCATTGAGGTGTGAAGGAGGCATTGTGGATTCTCTTACGAGTTGCTGTCTGAGCCATTGGTTCTCCTGGAGAAGCTTTGGTCTTCACATCGAGCATTGCTTCCTGGCTCTGGAGGGGAAGACATGTGCTGCCTGGTCTCCAGGATGAACTTGTCACACTGCTTCCTGGTACATACCCGACTGTGCTTGTCGTTGGAGGAGCTTGAGGCCTCCGTGTCGCTGAGGACAGCTGTGGTGCCTTTCAGGACAGCCCCGCTCTTTGTTGTGAGTGTGACTTCTCGGCTCCAGTGTAGAACCCTCATCCCACTAGCACAGCACCTTCATCCTGCTCGCATAGACTTTCTGGCTTCCATCCCTTGGGCTTCCCAGCGCTCGCATAGACTTTCTGGCTTCCATCCCTTGGGCTTCCCAGCACGAATCCGTAAAAGAGACTGGCGTGAGTCCTTCTCGTGGGCTCTGGACTTCCAGTTGGACTCGTGGAGGCGATGTCCTGATCTCTGAGTTTTTATCTGGACTCATGTTGGACATTGCTGTGGGGTTTAGACTCTTGACTAAATAATCTATGTCATTAGATTTCCTGCATTCTGTGTTAACTTCCGGTGACCATTATAAAAATATTATAAACTCTATGTCCTGATTTGAATTGTTCTGTGTACAACCCCTGACTATAACACTGTTCTTACCATGTGGTCTTCTCTGCCTCATTTCTGTTGAGCTCTTTTTCTGTCATTTGTTGTCAGTTTGTCTTCTTCATTTTGCTTTCTGCTCCATTCATTGTGGCCTTTCTGCCATTATTTCTGGAATCTTGGTATTTTCCTTCTTTAGAATATCCTGCAGTATTCTCTGTAGAGTTGAATTGGTGGTTGCAAATTTCCTTAGTTCCTCTTTATCCTGGAAGCACCTTGTTTTTCCATCAATTTCTAGGGACAGTTGTGCAGGATATATCAATCTTGGCTGGAAGTTATTATCTTTCAAAACTTGAATTATTTCCCCCCACGCTCTTCGTGATTTGATGGTTTGTGCCGAGAAGTCTGCTGTAATTCTGATGGGTGTTCCCTTGTAAGTGATGTTTCTTGTCTCTGACGTCTTTTAATATTCTGTTCTTATATTGGATTTCTGGAATTTTGATTATTGTATGCCTGGGTGTAGCTCTGTTTGGGTTGTAGGTGGCTGAGGTCCTTTATGCCTCCTACATCTGAGTATCTTTACCATTTGTTAAATTAGGGAAATTCTCTTGGATTATTTCTGTGAATAGCTTTTGTAGTCCATTTGTGTCCCTACTTCTTCTTTTATGTTCTTAATTCTTAAGTTACAGATCCTCTTATCATCTTCTAGCCTTTGTATTGTTGCTATTTGGGTTTTTTTTTTGTTATTTTTAAGAAGTTTTTCATTTCATGCTCCCATATTACAAATCTGCCCTCCAGTTCAGATAATCTATCCTTAGTTTCTTTCAAGTCGTTATGCCAGTTTTCGATAAAGTTTTAGTTTCCTGGTAATCTCTTTGAACCTGCTTCACGTATTCTATGTTTTCTCTAGTTTCTCTATCAAACAATTCTCCCTTTTTTTTCCGATCTTTTATTCCACCATCTGTTTTTTCTTGGGCGGTGCTTAGCATTTCTCTAACTATTCTACTTATATCTTGCTTCAGGTCATTAATAACTTTATTCCTGAACTCATCTGCGAGGCTCTGGAGATAGCGCTTTATGTCTATTGGTGCCGTGTCTGATATTGCATGTTTCTCAGGATTGGGGGCTGAGGACCCTTTCTTGTTGCTCCCTCTTCCCATGTTTTTTATTCCTTTTATACAAGCATATATAGGAGGCCTAGTTTCTTTCTTTATCGGTTACAGTTTGTTTGAATTGCGCCGGCTAGGTGTTCCCGCCCTCTGCAGTACACTAGGGAGACACAGACCTGGGCAGCCTTTGCTGGGCCCGCCCCTCCAGGTCAACCTACCGAAGGCTTCACTGCTAGGGTGCACCTCCAGGCGCTGGGACCTGGTTTGAGCTAGCCTACTGGGTTTTAGTCAGTGGTGTCAGGCAGGCCAGGCATTCCCCACCAATCCCACTTGAGAGGGGAATATGCAACACTGTAGCATCCTGTCCCGGCTAGCCCGGCCCACCCGGTCCCAGTATGTCCTTTGCTGAAGCCTCCTACTCTATGGAATGGCCCCCAATCTGCTCACTCACTGCAGGTCAATGCAGGGCTCCCGGCCAGTCCTGCTCTCAACTCCATTCACCGCTTCCCACTCTCAGAGCTTTCTTGCCTCTCTCCTTGCTGTGCTGATTGGGACGCAGCAGTGGCTGCAGGAAATTCAAATCGCGGCTTCCGCCCTGAGACCTTATCTGTTCCTGTTATGTCACCAGGATTTCGTTTCCAGTTGGTTTCTCTTAGTTTAGTTCGTTCCTGGGTCAGCAAATTATATCTCCACTTGCTTAGGATTTCTTGCCCGGCACCATTCCTAGATTTTAAGTGCAGTTTCTCAGAGAGCCTCCGAAGCTGCTGCTATCTGCCTGCCATGTTCTCCCGGAAGTCTTGTTTTTGTTTTGAGACAGGGTCTTGCTAATGTAGCCCAGGC